GCCCGGGGCCTGCTCTTCCATCCATTTCTGGTAGTCAGTTGTCTTTCACATTCTCTTTGTGTTTCCGACCACTGCAGTGTGTCTTCCTCACAGATGGAGAATCATGGGTCAGATAAGTATCACAGTAGTCACAATAAAACTTAGGCATGTTGCTCCGCAGGCCTTTGGACGCCCAGATTTTTTTTTTAAACAGTTCTCTGCAGTAACTAGTGTTAAGTTTTATGGGCTACAAAATTCCATTTAATCAATTTACTGCCTCCAGTCACTCCAAAACATTAAACTGAAGTCAGAATTACAAGCATATAGAAATGTACCTGTACTCTATTTGTGCTTCTCCTTTTAAACATTATAATCTTTTGCTGCTTATAACTTTTTTATTGACTTATGATTATTCTGGATATATATTAAGTTAAAAATTTTTTGATAGCATATTTCTTGTTTTACTTTGATTTGGGATCAGAGTCCAGTCTGACTTCATTTATCCCCTTGTGACATCAGGAAGTATTTACGGGCAGTTTCATTGAAAATTCAGTCTCAGGACTGGAGAGATAGCTCAGAGGTTAAGAGCACTGGCTGCTCTTCCAGAAGTCCTGAGTTCAATTCCCAGCAACCACATGGTGGTTCACAACCATCTACAATGAGATCTGGTGCCCTCTTCTATTATGCATGCAGGTAAAACACTATGTACATAATAACTTTTTAAAAGGAAAAAGGAAATTCAATCTCCTATTAACCTATGATTTTAAACATCAGAGGTTATGTCCCAATATCATGTTCTGTTCAAGGAAGGTTTTGTTTCACATTTACAAAGAGGCAGAGAATAACAGTACACGTGGGGAAATAACCCAAGGACCATTGCCAGTGAAAAACTGAGTATCATTTCAAGGGGGAAATTCTAACTAGAAACACTTTTCCTTTGTTAGACTAAGTTTTCTTCTTTGGTCCTAAGTAGAGGATTTTAGCTATAAATTTGGATACTTAAGACAGTTATGATAACTTTGAAATTAACTAGATAAGGATTACAGTATCTTAGAAGTTGGTACAGTATCTCTTAGTACTGGATGAATTCTGATGCATATTATCCTTTTTAATGTTAATCTTTTTTAAAAGTTTACTATATTTTGTGTATAAA